TATATTTTATATTTATTTTAAAAATATAAAAACACAGCTCAAATACATAAGAAACAAAAGGAAAGCTATTAGACATCAAAGCTAGCATTCAAGTACTAAACAACCTATATGTTCTAAGATATATAGTCTATGCCTTTTTTAAAAAATGTATTTACAGACATAATGCTGAAGGATTTTGTCACTTATATTGATTAATTCTGGGATAGTTTAACTAGCTGCTTAAGGAGTATCTGAACCTGACGTGGCAGAGAGATGGGGAAGGCTCAAGAGCCAGAGAGAACATGATCAAGCGTAATAGTAGATTAAAACTTCAGTTGTCCAGCAATCATTTGAGCCTCATTACCCTACAGAAACCAGTAAGGAAAACAAGGATTTCCTTTATTTTGAAACATGAACCTGTGAGGAGTATTAGTAATTTCCAGAGCAGACAGGCAAGGGAATAGCCTCATGTCTCTGGAAGCCCATTGCTAAAAAAGAGAGAGAAAAAGCTTTTCATAAATAAATTATCATTTCACAAGATAACACACTAACTTTATGGCCATGACATTTTCCAAGAGTCACGTGGCTCAAAAATTAAGAAACGATTGAGTTGTATCTGGTAAGAAAAGCAGCTCCAATTTGAGAGAATGTCCTTCTTTCCAGTGTTATACTCTGGTTTGTAGGAAAGGTAAGCTGGAAGCCATCTGAAGAGGACTACTTGGCCCTGTCTTACAATAGATGACTTCACATGCTAATCAGACTGAGTCTTCAGCCAGCAGGGCCAAACAGCCTGTCTATTTTACGAACAAAGGCTTCAAACTTTCTGTGCTCACATCTACTTAAAAAAAATTCAAAACTAGTGTATTGACTTTGCTTAACCTCAGACATTTGAGTGCACAGTAGATTTTTTATTCTGAGCCCATCGTGTTTTTTATTGGCACTTCCAACCCATGCATTTATGGACTCAGCCATTTATTCTTTCAACAAGAATTTATTGAGCAACTTGTGTATTCCTGTTTCTCTTCCCTCATATATCCCTGTCCTCATGGCACTTACGTCGCAGGCCATTCTTGCCTAGAAATCCAATAAGTCTTGACACTTACACTCAGTGGCTATTTTTTCTGCCCTACAGCAACCATTGTGGTCCTGTCATTGCAGCTGTTTTCACTTTTCTTTAAGTTGCAGGAACATTTTTATCATTAAAGTGAATAAGATTTATTTTTGAAGCCCCGAGAAGCTAGACTTTCTCTGTCTTCACTGCAGTCCGTCCGCCCATCAGCCCAGGAACGTGACCAATTCCCTGGGGTACTGGCCTAGGGACTCCTGAGACAGCAGTAAGTGATGCAGTGAGCCCTTAGTGTACCTGGTACTGATATCTAGGTTGTTTCCTGCCTAAAGGGGGATTTCTGGCCTTCTGATGAGCCAGCTTTGGCTTCATACCCTTTTATTTCCAAATCTCAATACTAGAATTTCAGGGTTTCAATCATTCCCCTAGGACTCCTTCATTATTTCTCATATATGGCTTAAGGAATATCATGCAAATACCTTTCTTTCCTGCCTACCTTGGTGTTTCCGATTTTCAGAGGTGGATTTTAATCTGATGAGATAATGTTTATAAGACGCTTAACATATAACAGGTAGTAGATACTCAATGAAATATATCTATTAGAGCTAGTCTGTAATAATAATGACAAATGTATCAATTAAACTCCACATAAATGTGGCTCTGTGGAGAAACAGCAATGATAAGAATAATAATAACGTCATGGCTATAGCTGTGTTTACAAATCTGAACATGCTAAACTTTTAATATTATTTCTTCCTGCAATGTAAATAATTTTAAAATAAGAATACTCTTTTATATTCTAAATGGTTTAAGTGCCAGAAGATTTTAGCTATGAATGTAGCTTATATCCATTCCTATATTCAATATGAAACACTTGTCTCATTCCTGCTTTCTCTGAACTTAATCCCATCTGAATCTTTTTCATTCCCTCATAAGATTTCAAAAGCTTTGTTCTGGTCCTGATTGGCATGTGTTTCTTCAGAGACACCACTTGGGAGTGGAAGTCAGCACCAGCATCTCCTTGGCGTTCTTCTCTCCTGACGGTGTGATTTAAGGTTGTGGGTAGGAAGGGTCTGGCAGGAACCCACCTACAGCAGCCTTGTCTCAGCTCCATCCCTGCCACATCAGCATTTATCATCTTCCTGAGTCTCTGAAGGAGATAGACTGAAACTCAGGACTTGGATCACCTGTGACAAGGGAAATAAGAGGGAGTAACAAGGCACTGCAAGAAGGAAGCATAGACAAGATTCTGAATCACTTTGTTCAAAATTGGATATAAGTGAATAACAGTATTGTAAGATATTTGCTAATAATCAAGGAAATGCAAACAGAATAACTGATAAGATGCCATTATAACTTTCAAAATGGTATTGATTTAAAAAATAAGAACTCAGAAGGTTGGTGAGTGGGCAAGAGCAGGGACGTGTGCCCACCCCACCGCAGAACATTGAGTTGGCCTGTGGCTCTGGAAGGTGGTTGGCAAGGAGCCGCAAAGGAAGCGTATGCAGAGCTACATCTAGGATCTAGTCTGCGGGCGTTACCAGAGATGTGTCCAGAGAGTTCCACAGAGAGCTGTCTGTCCAGAGAGTTCCGCAGAGAGCTGCCTGTCCAGAGAGTTCCACAGAGAGATGTCTGTCCAGAGA